ATATACATGTATATTAGTACAAGTGCATACTTCTTTTATATATTTTCTTTATATATATATATACATACAGTATAGGGGCATCAGAAAAAGTTCAAGCCACTTTATGAAGTTTGTGGAAAAATATAGCAACAAGAAAACCAACTCATTGACTTGGTCTTCATAAAGATCACTGTCATCTGTGGCTGAATCTTTTTTAAACATTAATTTTTGTACTTGAAGCTAAAATCCTTATTTAACGTTGCACTCCTCAACCAAATAATCTCTGGTTTATTTGAACATGTTCTCCTTTTGTCCCCCGCAGCTGAGTCCTTCCTGAAGAGCATCATGAGCCCGATCTTCCTGCTCAGCGCTCTGACCATGTGCATCACTCAGCTTCGCCTGCTCTTCTACATGGGAGCCATGAACAGTGTCCTGGAGTCTCTCTGTGACGGAGACCTCAGTACAGGTGGCTTTGTCTGCATTTACTTTAAAACATTTTATCACTGAGGCTGTTTGCTCTTTAAACTGTGGTAACGACGTCTTCAAAGCAGCTAAACTTGATTCAATTCAATTTTCAGCTGAAAGGATAGAAGTTGGTAAGAGCTTCCAGTTTGATCTGTAGTTGTTTTCCCATAGCCAGTCACAAACAAACAGATTTTAGCTTTGTAGACACACTTCCTGCCTTGTTCTATTTTACACGCCAGCTCAGATGGCTTGGCTCTGTACTAACCCAGTCCTTCAGCTGTCATTCAGCTCCAGGTAACGTTAGTTTATTCATTAACTACCTCTGCTGCTCAGAATTAGCTGAGCAAACTTCATGAGCCGTCTCACATGATGCCCTTTTCCTCTGAGCCATAAACGCTCCTCTTAATGGTGTCGTATTGACTTTTGGACAACCTTGTTGTTCCACTCAATATGGCTCTAATGCCTGGGACTAATTATTAACTGGACTGACGAATTAACCAGCTGGGAGACCTCTGTCTACTCTGTCACCCTTTTAAACACCAAGACAGTCTTGCTTTTACACAAACAGTCCGCCATTGTCTTCCCTATGTCGTAATACGCTGTCTTGTCCTCGTTCTGCTCTTCAGTGAGTCTCTACTCCTCCATTTTCGGCGTGCTGCAGCTGCTTTGCCTGATGACCACCCCTGTGATTGGTCAGATCATGGACTGGAAATTGAAGGACTGTGATGATGGCGAAGACGACAAGGAGCCCTTCAGCAAGTGAGTCAGACTGTTTTCAAGTGACAACCTAAAACTCTGTCAGAACCAGTGAAGACTCTGAAGATGAACGCTGGTCTTTCTGATGCTTGGTCTTCATTAGCTGGACACCTGCAAGCCCAACTGTAGTTTTGATCATCCCAGAGTACAGCTCAACTAGAAATGAACACTTTTACAGGTTTATATTTCCTGAAATGTTGTATCTGACCTCGTTCTGCGTCTCTTTTTACCTACAAGGGGGGAAACAAAGCGCAGAGACAGAAAGACCCAGAAGGTGACCAACGCCCTGCGAGCGTTCGTCCTCACAAACCTGCTGCTGGTGGGATTTGGAATCACCTGCTTGATACCCAACCTGCCGCTACAGGTGAACAGCAAGCCGTCTCCACTGACTGTTTGTCGTTGTTAATGTATGAAGATTTTACTTTTTAAATGCAGAGCCGTGTTGAACTGGAAACAGAGTTTCTGACTTTCTGCAGTCAGTGTGAAACAAGTGAATTACAGGTTTACTGACAGGAGTGATAGCATCCTCATCTGACATGTTTCCTTAGTTAATGTGGCAGAAAAATAGGAAATGTGTAACTATCTAATGGTGGTTGATCCCAAAATGCAGGGAGGATTCAGAGGACTCAAGTTTAAAAGTAAAAGTTATTTAATAAAAATAAACAAAAGGGCTGACATGGCAGCAACAACTTACATGAACCGTGAGAGGAAACAGGACGTGGTGCAGAACAGGTAACAGGAACATGGAGCCTTCATGAGACAATGCCCAAACAACAAGGAACAGGAGAGCAGACTTATATACACACACTAACAACAGACAAATGACAAACAGCTGGGACAGACCACAAGAGGGAGACACGGACAAGGATCAGGAAAGGAAATAAAGACCAGATAAACACAAAGAAAACAGACAAAAAGGACAAATTATGACAAAACGAGCAGCCTGACTCTGCAAGACAGGCAATGTGGGGTGAACAGTTAATATCTTACATGTTGTAGATAGTTTTGGGGGTGGTCAAAGTTTGACAAAATATACAGTTCTGAATGCACTGATAAGCTAAAGGCTAGTCTGTGTGGGGTCAAGATCAACTCTAGTCCCACAAACATCATGGGGTTTCATGCAAACGCTGTAATATCAAACGCCACATCGCGGCCATTTTCACATTACACAGCTGCTCACGTAGAATTCTTCGTTTTTGCAAGTTCAAACAGCAGCTAGCTGTAGCACTTCTGGTGCAGCTCGAGGCCCTTATGGCAGGAATATAGAAATATTTATGCCGGAATAACGTGCAATTCAAAATCCACGGTCATGTCAAGATTTGTAAAACAGAATTTGCATGAAATGGTTCAAAATCTTTGAAAGTGAGTCTAACACAGTTAAGTCAGGTCTCCTGGACGGATTAAAAATTTTAAATTGTTGAAACGTTTCACATTTTATTGAAAAGACTTCTTCAGTCTGAGGAGCTGTAATAAACTCAGTCTTATAAATAGCACTTTCTCATAGTGGATCAACCAGTTTGCTGTTGACATCCAGAACTAGCTGTTCACATGATGAAGGAGGACCATCAGCCTAACGAACGAACGGTAGTGCCCTGATGGCCGCTTGCTATTCACAGAGGGCTAAGAGAAGGAGCTATTTATAAGACTGAGTTTATTGCAGCTCCTTAGACAGACAAAGTCTTTTGGATAAAAGATGAAACATTTTAAATTTTTTTTCTTTATCCTCTACCTGGATTATTGAACATGCATCAGGATATTTGAAAGTGAAGTTGTTGTAAAGCTTTTCACAGCAAGTAAAACTTTTTCTGTCCCTTCCGCTGAACCCCATTTCTAAATAAACTGAACTTTTTTTTGTTAGTTTTCTGTTTAAGGATGTTCTGTTCTAAATTAAAGTTGTGCCTTGTTCTGTTTTCATGTGAGCTCAGATTGTGTCTTTCATCCTACACACCGTGGTGAGAGGATTCATCCACTCTGCAGTCGGAGGTCTTTATGCTGCTGTGTGAGTGACAACGCTCCTCTAACCTCATTTTGAATCTGTGGTTGACTCAGTACTGTTGTAGTCTGGGCATGCTGGATGTGGAGACACCTTCAGACTTCCCCTTAACGTTTCTCCTCTTCCTCCTCAGATATCCATCTTCACAGTTTGGCAGTTTGACTGGGATGCAGTCTCTGGTCAGTGCAGTTTTTGCTCTCCTGCAGCAACCCCTGTTTTTGGCCATGATGGGACCTCTGGGAGGAGATCCATTCTGGGTGAGGACATAAACCCACACACACAGAGTAAAACATGCAGCCCTCTGGTTTGTCTAATGCTAGTGTCATCCTCCAGGTTAACATCGGGCTCTTTGCTCTCAGTATGCTGGGCTTCTTGCTGCCTCTCTACTTGATCTGCTATAGACGGACGCTTCATCGACAGCAACTGCAGAAAGCTGAAAACGCCAAGGTGTACATCAAAATCAACGGCTCCGACATCCCAGAAGCCTTCGTTTAGTGGACGGAGGAAACGGAGAACAGAAACACAAGAAGATGCTGAGAAAAATGGGCACGCTGATAGTACAAGCATCAGAAATGAATCCATAAAAAGGCCCACCTTAAATAAACCATCCGTCACACAACTTCCATATTTGGAAATTTTAAAGTAGGAAAACTACTGAAACGTGAAAGTTGTCCCAAAGAATGAACAGTTGGAGATTTGAAGCATGAAGGAAGTAAAGAGCAAAAGAGGAAAAACTGTGAAAGGAAAGCGGCAGCAGCCGTCTGTATTCCCCCAAATCCTTTGAACTCTTTGTTACTCCTTCCCTTCTTTCCAGCATTTAGACTGCTCCCTCTTGGTCCAAACGAGCAGAAAACTGTTGCATGTCCGGCCTGCAAAAGCACTAACCAGCCTGAAATGTTAAATGTTAAATGTTAAAATGGTGTTGGGAGTAGAAACCTGTTGCTGATGTTTCTCAGACGAGCAGAACAGCCCGATCGTGGATCTGTTGCCAGGCTAACATCTGAGGACACTGAAGATTTGAAGTATTTCTATTTTACTGGACAATTGTCAGTATTTGTGTTCAAAACCATTAGACAAACTAGCTTATTTTGCTAAAAAGTAACTGTCAATGTGTGTTTAGAGTATTTATTTTTATTTTATTCTATAGAGATTTACACTTAACAAAGGTGCCTTTTGAATGTACTTTTGTGCAGAAGTGACCATTCAACATCAGTAAAACTATAGCCTCCCCTTGGATTGTTTGGTGCAAACTGTATTTATTTTATCTTATCATTCAGATGCGTTCGCTTGAGTCAGTTGTTCCTCCAGTTCGTCTGCCAGCTGATCGTAAAGAGAAAAACAGCACTTTTACCACCTTTTCTGCACGAGCTCAGTTCATGCTGGCACGTTCTCCTAACGCTGCTCTTTACCTTTAATGGTCAGAAATGTATTCATTTTGCTCTTCCATCATACATTTCTTGGTGTGTTCAAACTGTGCAGCAGATGTCTTGTCCTGTACTGTTTTGTGTGGTCAGAAGCTCTTTTACTGTCGCTAAGAATAAAGTGGTGTCTATGTTCAATGTGGAAGAGTTTGTGAGATTAATAATAAAAGTTTTGCTTTTTTTCCACTGCTGAGCACTGTCATATCTGTTATATCCCTGTGTGTTTTTTAGTAATCTATCAGCCTAACATGATTTTTAAAAATATTTTGAGTAGTTCAGCAGCCAACCAGCAGAGGGCAGTGTACATTACAGCCTTTCAGGCACAGAAATGTCTTCAGACAACCATCCATCCATCCATTATCTTTACCCGCTTATTCCATTTTGGGTCACGGGGGTCGCTGGTGCCCATGTCACAAACAACCATTCACTCTCTCACTCACACCTAGGGACAATTTAGAGTTACCAATCAGCCTAACATGCATGTTTTTGGTCTGTGGGAGGAAACCAGAGTACCCGGAGAAAACCCACGCATGCACGGAGAGAACATGCAAACTCCACCCAGAAAGGCCCCTGGACCGGGGTTTGAACCAAGAACCTGCTCGCTGAGAGGCAGCAGCTCTACCAGTTGTGCCACCGTGCTGCCTATGTCTTCAGACAATAAACTCAAAATGCAACAAAACAGAATACAGTTCTGAGCAACTGCGCTGATTTTATGTGCAAAAATCATCTTCAACAACTCTGAAAATACTTTCAATTAAATTCAATTCAGTGTATTTATTTAGCGCCAAATCACAACAAAGTTGTCTTAGGGCACTTTACAGGAACATTCACAAACATAAAAGCCAATTAGTAATCCCTATCTAAGGAATCCAGCAGACAAGTTGAATCTTGGCTTCATTGCAGTCTCCCATCCTGAGCAAGCACAGTAGCAACAGTGGAAAGGAAAAACTCCCTTTTAAAAGGAAGAAACCTCCAGCAGAACCAGGCTCAGGACAAGTGGCCATCTGCTTTGACCGGCTGGTTGAGAGGACAGGAAGGAGAGACAGAAGAACACAGAATGGTAGGTTCAGGTATAGGTCCAGGTGTATCTGAAAGACAAAAAAAAAAAACCACATGTTAAGGATAGAAAAAATAATTACAAATACAAAACAGGTTGAGCAGAGTAAGTAAAGACTGTAGCAGAGTGAAAAATTGTGGTCAGTTTGTCCTCCAGCAGTCTAAGCCTATAGCAGCATAACTAAGGGACAGCTCAGGAAACCCAAGCCGACCCGAACTCCCGTTAAGACTCTGGCAGCAGCATTTTGGAGCAACTGAAGACGTTTTAAAGACGTATTTGGACATCCAGATAATAAACCATTTCAATAGTCCAGTCTAGACGTGACAAATGTATGGACCAGTTTTTCTGCATCATTTTTAGATAACATGTTTATAATTTTAGTGATATTACGCAGATGGAAGAAGGCAGTTCTAGTAACGTTTTTAATGTGGGGGATAAAAGACAGGTCCTGATCAAAAATAACACCAAGATTTTTAACATTAGAGCAGGAGGACAGATTAATGCCATCTAAGGAGGGAGAAAGACTGAAAAATTAATTCCTAAGGTGCTCAGGTCCAAAAACCAAAACCTCAGTTTTGTCTGTGTTCAACAGGAGAAAATTAAGGGTCATCCAGGTTTTTATGTCTTTAAGACATGCTTGTAGTCTAAGTAGCTGATTGGATTCATTGGGTTTAATGGACAAATATAATTGTGTGTCATCAGCATAACAATGAAAATTTATCCCATGCTGTTTAATAACTTTACCTAATGGAAGCATATATAAAGTAAAGACTAAATGTTCAAATGCAGCACTGAGGTCTAACAGGACCAGTATAGACACAAGTCCACTGTCTGAGGCCATGAGAATATCATTAGTGACATTTTCTAGTGCTGTTTCTGTGCTATGATAAGCTCTAAACCCTGACTGAAACTCTTCAAACAGATTATTTCTTTGTAGATGTTCACGCAACTGACCTGCAACTATTTTCTCTAGAATTTTTTAGATGAAAGTTAGATTAGATATAGGTCTATAATTGGCCAGAATTTCTGAATCAAGATCAGACTTCTTAAGTAAAGGTTTAATTACAGCAACCTTAAAGTGCTGCGGTACATAACCATTCATTAAAGACAAATTAAGTAGATCCAAAATGTGAACATTAATTAGGGGGAATACCTCTTTAAACAGTCTGGTTGGGATGGGATCTAGCAGACATGTGGATGGTTTGGATGAGGTTATTATTTTTGACAATTCAGAGAGTTCAACAGGACAAAAACTGTCCAAACATAAATCAGGCTCTAGTGAAATTTTTAAAGTCGTCTCGTTTGACAGGGGACTAGAGATAGTAGAAGGAAGGATGGTTTGAATTTTCTCTCTAATTGAAATTATTTTATTTATAAAGAATCTCATGAAGTCTTCACTACTTATAGTTGTATGGATTGTAGTGAACCTGATCTGACCCTGATCTGACCCTGATGACCTCAAATCTATCAGATGGACAGAGACTGTTATTTCATTGATCTGAATACAGTTTGAGCCATCTGGTGACTCTCTTTCTTGAATTAATCAAGCAGAAAAGACAATTTTTATAATCATCACTGTTTTACAAATGTTTGATAATCAAATTGTGTTAGTTCACTCAATGTTACAGGTTGAAGAGAACTACTCATTTTTATTTTACATAAACAGTAAGTAATGATTTTTATTCCTCATTCAAAGAAGAAATCAGGTTAATATGCATTTCTTGACTTTTCTGTCTGCAATGTAAGTATGTTAAAGGTCGGTTTTCGGTCAACTAAAATGTTTACCGAGAAAGATGTCATGTTTAAACTTTTTCAGAAGATTATAAGTGTGAGACTCCACGAAGTCTGAAGTCCTACAATAATCTTTCTGTTTGTTACTAAACAATCCTTGATTTTTAATAACATCTTACATCATACACCACACCTCTATTCCTGGTCCATCGACCAATCAAAAGCTCTCAAATGACCCGGAAGTCGACCCATTTAAAATGTGGCAACTTCCCAGTTCATGTTAGGAGTTAAGGAGTTGAAGGAGTTGAGAGAGTTGAAGGAGTTGCAAGAGTCAGAGTGATGGAGTTAGAGCTCTTGGATGCAAACGCGTTCAGGATGATCCAGAGACGTTTTGGGATTATAACTTCTGTTTGAACAAACCACGTACGACTCTCTGAAGGTTTGGCAGTTCTCACGGAGACGCTGAAAGGGTCTGAAGGATTCTATACCGAGCTGATTCACGTCAACCAGGTAACAGTTTCTTCTTCGACTAAAGTGTACCGGAGGCAAGCTGAGATCTGATGGAGCGTGCACGTTCTGGTCATAACAGATTAATTCCCTCACATATCTCTCTGTAAGATAAATCTCCACTTCATCTTAAACTCTGCTTTCTCTTAAAATCAGTACAGATATTTTAGAAATATCTGAAGCAAAGTCCTCAATCACCGCCGCGTGATTGAAGCTCATTTTCTGTGAAACTTGTCTGTTATTATTTTCATATTTTGCCAAATTAATGTAAATGTTTGATGTTAAACTTTGATTCTGAAAATAAATGGCCGCATTCATTTTGATGGGTCAAAGATAAATAACGTCTCTCGTTACATTTCTGTTAAATTCAATGCACGACATTTACACAGTCAGAAAGATGAGGAACTCGTGAAAATTGTATGCATATATCTCGTATATGTACTACTACAGGATACATGGTTCAACAGAAATGGGACTTTTAATTATGTAGTCTAGCACTAGTACTAAACAGAAACCTAGGGCTATTTTTATTCTCCTCTATTAAAGATGAGTAATATAAAGTTCTAGCGTTATGGAGAGCTTTTTTATATGTTAGCAGACTATCTTTCCAAGTTAAATAAAATTCTTGAACATTAGTAGAGCGCCATTTTCTCTCCTGGTTTCTAGATGCCTGCTTTAAAGTACGTAACTCAGAATTGAACCAAGGACTTAAAATGTTTAAAAACTTGCTGTGTTTTGATGGCAGTACTTAGTGGGACTCGGTGGTGATTTTAGCCTCTTTTGGGGGGTACTCAAGCACCCCTAAATTTTAACACTGCACCCCTGAAAAATAAAGTTTTTTTTTGGCTGGTTCTGGGATTTGGGTTCTGTTTATTGCATTTATGATTCAAGGCAACAAAATAAACTAATTTTCAAGGTAACAAATCACTTTAACATTTAATTTATTTACATAATTATTTAATTGCTGGATGTTTGGCCCCTGAGCTGCTGACTTGCAGAAACTGTGCCCCCCTGAGCAGTTTAGTTGAATAGTACTGAGTTAGAGGGTGGAATACAGTTTATTCCATTTCCCAAACCTAAACTGAGTCTGGAAAAATGTAAAAGATGGATAAAACCCTGTGGCCGACCCCATGAGCAGCTGAATACAACAGTGATAAACAGAAATTAACTCATGTTCATGAGTAAATCCTCCATTTTTTGTCATAATTACATTGTGCAGTATGATTAATAGATGAATTAAATATTAATGCTCAAACCTACTTTGTTTTGTGCGTTTGTACAGTGTAGATACATGTTGCAACTTCTGGTTGCATGAGTTTAGTCTTTAATTGTTATGATCAGTTGACGCTAAACTGATTTTGTACAAAGCGTTTATTACTTTGTGTAATGCTACGTCTGTAGCATCTTAGTTAGTGCTTCTGCTAGCTTGGCGCTACTTCTTATTGAGCCGAGCTCTCTAAAATAGTTACTGAATCAAGTGTTTACTTATGTAGGTAAATGTAGACTGACGAAGCCTCTTGGATGAGGGGCGAAACGTTTCTTTTTTAACAAAAAACGAAGTCCAGATGACATGATTCAACCTTTTTTGTTGTTATATACCTGGATGACTGAGAAAACAAACTTTGTGTAAATGTAGATGTTTAACAATAAGTTAAAATACACCAAAATGTAGGAAATGGCATCAACTTTATTCAAACTTTTTCTGGGGGAGGATCCCCAGATGCCCCCACCAGTGTGTCCCCCCCCACATTACGAATGTTTCTGATGCCAGTGGCCACCACGCTGTCCAAGCGCCATTGTCAACACTGGGGGTTAAGCACCCCTAAAGGACAGATTGTAGAATCGCCCCTGCTGAGCTAGAAAACCTGTTTAGAGGTGAACTACCTCCCCAAGTTTTGATTGTTTATTTGTTTGTTTTCTTTTGTACGTTGTTGTTGTTGTTGGCAGATGCTCCTGGCACACTCTCACAACTAATCCTTGCCAGGCTGGTCAGTGCTCTGCTCTGCACCATTATTAGGACTTTGCACACCTCATCCCAGGGAAGAGGTCCTGAAGCTCTGCTCAGTCTCGTGAAGTCACTGTGCAGCTGCGAGGGAACTTGTCCCAAACAGCTCACAACTTTTTCACATAGACAGTCAGGAAGTCTCAAATTTCAAATGTAGGCTCTTCCTTTGCTCATGGAAACGAGCGCAAATTGTATTCATTCAAATTGTATTCAAGTCACTGTATGTAAACATCTTGTGCTGTTTCTCTGAGACCAGACAGCCAAATCATGATCTCCACCTGGAGGGAAAGTACCACAGCATTCTGCAGGAAGAACTAGAATCTTGGCATTTACTCCACATGGCTGTTATTCAACACTTCCCACGTATTTGGTCGGACCATTCTCAACTCGTGCATGAAAACAGCCCTACAGTAGCAGATTTCCTTCAGCAGGACACGGAGCTCTGTTTGTAAAGCAAACACCTCATACGCTGACATGTTCAGTCATTACTCTGTCCAGATGTGAACCAGATGAGATCTGATGGAGGCTGTGAGAAACTCACAAGTCCACAGAAACTCCACCACAACCCATTGAATAATTTTAGTACCAGACATGAACAGACACTTTCTCCTGTGAAATACAAGACTAAAAGATAATTTGATGCTCTATCAGACAAACAAATGAGACTAATGGGGGTAAATTTAAAATAATTGGCTAAATAAAAAAAAAACGTACTGTTGAACCCGAGCTTGATTCATGAGGCATGTTAAACAACCACAGCAGCTCAAACACGTAAAAAATAAAGAATGAATAAAGAAAAAGACAACAGTTAAGGAATAAAATACACATGAAACCAGAGAAACTGCAGGATGGGTGCCGAGTTCATGCTGCACACTGCTGAAATTTATAAAAAGCAACAAAAATAGCATGAATACCAGCTGAAATAGACAAAGCATCAGCTAAAATTCAAAAGCAGCTTAATGCAAACTTGGAAAAAGACCAACTAAAAGCTGCAAAGAAAATTACAGTAATATCGGCCATAGAACTTTGAATATAAACTATACAGGACCTTTAGTCTAGTCTACAGGACCTTAATCTGGGCCACAGAGCCCAGAGGTCCAGGATGGGAAATTTAGCAGGTGGATACAGATGTACTATAAATACAGCTGTGTTACATCATTTTAGAATTATGAGCACTAACTCTGCAGGATGTGGGCCTGGATTGGGTACATGCCATATAAAGGACCATCCTACAACCTCGGGGAGGGGGGGAGGGGAGAGGTGTGTAAGGTAAAAGTACTGTACAGTCAGGCGACCTCCAGGGGTCCTTGAGAGAATTACAAATCAGCCTTGAATCCATTATTTATGAGGACGGCAGCTAAAGCTCCACCCAGATGATTGTGAGTCCATACATCAGGATGTGGGACGAATAAAAAGCATGTCGGGAGGCAGAATCATGTCAGACATTATGAACATGAAGCTGAGGGAGGGGGATTATCACGTGGAGGGCTTAGAGAGCTGTGCCAGCGGTGGTCCCCTTATTCGCTGATGGTGAACCACGCTTTGACGTCATCTGCGTCATTATGACGCAAGGGGCTGCACACTCTGCAAATGAAAGGTCCAGGGATGCTTGTTTAAACCCAGCAAGGTTTATTTTTATTTTATTTAGGTATTTTCTTTTTATGTAGTAATTAATAATTTACTGGTATTATTATCATCATCATCCTGTTTGTTTATTGTCTAGGTGTTTGTTTATTATCTGGATGTCCAAATAATTATTTTAAAATGCTTCAGTTGATCCAAAATCCTGCTGCCAGAGTTTTAATGAGACTTGGTAGGAGCGGTCTAATCTCTCTAGTTTTACTTTCTCTCCATTGGGTTCCTGTCAAATTCAGAAGATTCAGAAGAAGATTCAAAACAAGCTGCTGGATTCCTTTGATATAACATTTTTATTAATTCACTTTTTTAATGTATGTGAATGCTTTGTACATTGTCTTGACACAACTTCTGTTGTGACTTGGTGCTGATGGCGCTGTATCAATAAACTGAATTGAACTGAATCACCGTAATCATTATTATTATTATGATTATGATTATTATTACTATTATTATTATTATTAAGATAAGATAAGATAAGATAAGATAAGATAAGATAAGATAAGATAAGATAAGATAAGATAAGATAGAACTTTACTGATCCTGAAGGACATTGTTGTGCCAGAGTTTTAGTACAAAGGAACATACACAAGGGATCACACAATATATTAAAAAATAACAGAGAGGATAAAAATAACAGAGATTATTATTATTATTATTATTATTAGTAGTAGTAGTAGTAGTAGTAGTTGTTGTTGTTGTTGTTGTTGTTGTTGTTGTTGTAGTAGTAGCAGTAGTAGTAGTAGTAGTAGTAGTAGTAGTAGTATTAAGATAAGATAAGATAGTACTTTATTGATCCCGCAGGAAATTGTTGTGCCAGAGTTTTAGTACAAAGGAACATACACAAGGAATCACACAGGATATTAAAAAAACAGAGAAGATAAAAATAACAGAGATTATTATTATTATTAATATTATTATTATTATTAGTAGTAGTAGTAGTAGTAGTAGTATTAAGATAGAATTTTATTGATCCTGCAGGACATTGTTGCGCCAGAGTTTCGGTACAAAGTAACATACACAAGGAATCACACAAGATATAAAAAATAACAGAGAATATAAAAAATAACAGAGAATATAAAAAATAACTGAGATTATTATTATTATTATTATTATTACACAACTTAAAATGCCTGCAAAACTAATTCATAAATACGTCTGTAAATAAAATTCAGCAACATTAACAACAACTAAAAAGCTGGTCTTAAACGTATTTGGGGCGTGGTGCCAGATTTGACGCATGCGCATTAGTAGCACGCAGCTCCCCTGATGAACCATCGCTTTTCAGAGTGAGCGCGTCGCCTCTTCCTCCTCCTCCTCCTCCTCCTCCTCTCCTCCTCAGGCCTCCTCTTTGCGGGCCGCGGTTCTGATCAGGAAGTGAATTTGAGGAGAACCAGCGGCTGTGGAGGAGAATGACATAGAGAGGGGAGAGAGACGCGCGCGCGGCTGAAAGAAGCGGGGGGAGGACTCGAGCCTGTTTGTGGAGCCGTTTCGGAGCTCTCCGGGATCATAGGTCCTCTGCAGCGCCACAAAATACATTCAACATGCTCATAAAGGAATAGTAAGTACGTGCGTGTCGGTGTGTGTGTGTGTGATGCGGTTCGGCAGCGCTGACATTGTAGCAGGCAGGAGAAAAGTCCCGAGGACATCCAGCACACTTCATGTCCCTCACATGTCGGATGGATTAAAGGCACAGTTCAGATAAACGAGGCTGCGGCTCCACCAGCAGCCGGTGGACAGCTTTGTCCTTCAACTCCAGGCTCCTCTCTGAAATGACGGCTGCTGCTGAGGAGCTGGTGCTGAGGCAGGAACGGCTGGTACAAGCCGTGCTGTGCCGTGCCGTGCCGTGCCACCGTCATGTTGTTGATGCGCTCCGGTGAAGGTGAAAGGAGCGACGCAACATTCCAGCGTTCAGCTCCGGAGGAATGGGGTGTGAGATGTGTCCCTGGGTGGAGGGGTGAGGCGGTGTGAGGGATGCTCTGAACAGATGAGGAGGGAGGTGGGGGGGCTTTTGATGCACGGGGCTCGAAGTGGGGTATTATTTGTGCTCGTGGAGGGAGAGGATTATAGTTTCATCGTTTTTAACATGCTGTTCTTTTCTAAGGCCTCAATGTTCTGTGTGAAGAGCCGTCTGAGGCCTTCAGCCAATCAGAGGCTGGGAAGTGACAGATCAGTCACCGTCTTCATCATCTTCTTCTTCCAGCTTTTTCCTCTTCAGGGGTCGCCACTGCGAGTCATCCTCCTCCATCTCTGTCCTCCGCATCCTCTGTCCTCACTCCAACCACCTCCATGTCCTCTCTAACTGCATCCATATATCTCCTCTTTGACCTTCCTCTTTGTCTTGTTCTTGGCAGCTGCATTTCTAACATCCTTCTACCAGTATACCCACTGTCCCTCCTCTGGACATGTCCAAACCATCTCAGTCTGGCATCTAACTTTATCTCCCAGTTGTTCAACCTGTTCTGTACCTCTGATGAGCTCATTCCTAATCTTATCCATCCTTGTTACTCCTAAGGAGAACCTCATCTTCAATTTTGCTATTCCAGTTCTGTCTCCTGTAAAAACAAGTATTTTTTTTAGAATTTGTCCATTGTCAGTAGAGCGTAAATACATCAAGTCCATCATTTAGATCCAGGAGTGAATCGTTTGAAGGAAAGTTCTTGTTTTATTATCGCTCGCCAACAAAAGATTGTTGGTATTTTTACCAAAATATCTCCTGAACCATTGGACGAGTTCTAATAAAGCTTGAAGACGCTCATTAGATGTTTGTCTATAACTCTTGGAGTCAACCTGACTCAACACGATGCCCACCGACACAAATCGATGGGACTCAGTCACATTTACAGCTGAAATTTAGTCTGGCATAGATCAACACATATTCTGAATGTTTAAATCTACAACTGGTTTTATTTTAGAATCAAACCAGTTCACGATGTTTCCAACACATTAGCCTTCATGAAATGTCTCTAACTCACTCAGCTTTACAGATACTTTCACAACTAATACTCTGAACAGGAAGTGTTGCAATAGAGCATGAGAGTTATTATTTTCAAGGTTTGACCCAAACGTCTACAACGCTATGATTTCTCAACAAAAGATGGTCTTAGTTTAAAACTCTGGCATGAAAGGCAGCGAGCTTCATTAAAAAATAATTTTAGACGTTTTGGTTTCCGTTGCAGCTTTGGTGAGGACCGTGCCCTGAATGTAGGATTCATATCAGTTGTTGACCATTTCTAACCTTTTATAAAAAGGTCAATTACCGTCTTGGTTTGCCATCTCGTGCTTCCAGTCAATAAAAGTTCAGGATCAGAGTGATGGCGTGGCCAAAGATCTGAAGTGATTATGGAGGGTTCAGACCTCAGCAGTCAGCCTGGAGATTAATTAAACCGGCCCCAATTAAAGGCTGGGCTCACTGTCAATACACAGACACAAGAAGAAGAAGCTTGTTCCAACACACCGAACTGTCATGGAGGTCAGGAGACAGAGCATTGATCCGCAGCTTGCTGAAGTGCAGACAGGTGCTGTCTATGTCTCTGTGACAGTCACCTGAACCCCGAACCTAAATCCCTTCAAGTGTCTTCACTCCCACGACCTGTGATATTTGTACGCCAACATCGTCACAGTGAAAATTGACTTAAAGCAGGTTAAAACGAATGAAAAGAAGAGAAAGGGATGAAAAGATGTACACGATGAAGAATGCAGGAGAGGGTTTGTTTCTTGGTGCTACAGAGAGACATCTGATCTTCCCTTTAAGATCAAGGAGACAGGAACCAGGAGCTCAGTTCTTGTTTTACGCATGTACTTTAGACTAGAATGGATACTTTAAAACATTATTTAGGACGCACAACATTGAGGAAATAACACCACTTCTACGCACAGTTATGGACTGCTGCAGCATATGGTCTCCCATTCAGTGTCTGCTCTCATGAGACCCAGATTACATTCAGCGGCAGGTGGAATACAGGATTATGGGAATTTGGGCATACTTCACACGCTTACAAAACAATCAACAAAAGCTGCATGGTGTGCATGTGCATTAGGCTTTATGACATGCACAGGGGTCAGAGGACGGAAGCGGTGCTGTGTGACAGAACACCATGAATTAGACTAAAAAGAACAGATGTTGTCTGTGGATTTACATACATGTCAGTGGCGGACAGTCCAAAAAAAAAAATAATTCACTCAATAAAGTAGTTCCTTCTAATCAACACACTAAGTAATGTAAATTACATAGTTACTGAGATTGCTGTGTATTGTTTTCTGTGTTTTTCAACTCTTTTGACAATTTTAAGTGGAATTTAAATTTTTTTTTTAGTAATTCATCCTCATTTTTTTTTACTTATTTAGTTATGGGGCTGTACAATTTCACGATCCATGATCATCAAGCGAATTTGAACGTGTGGCTATTGAGCCGAACAGGCGGATCCAATAGAGTTTCATTTGGTGTGTCTGATTTTATGTTCTGTAGACGTATTCAGCTGGTTTTAGTGCATTGTGATGTCTACATAGACCTCACGTGATCTCAAACCCAGCAATAGCTGCAGCGAAACCTGCTGAGACCAACAGTGGAGATATTCTGTTTTTAAATGCTTTTGGAGCAGACAGACGGGACCAGAACAGAAAACTGAGAGAGTAAAGTCAAAGAACAGGAAGTTTCCTCCAACATGATAGGACCTTACTGAAACAATTCTGTGGTTCCTGTGTGTGTGGCTGTTCTGGGTAACTGAGTGTTTGTGGGTTTGATCTAGGCCTGTCGCGATAAACAGTAAATCAATTAACCACATGATAAATGAAAATTATCAACTTCATTTTCATTTATCAGCTTTATCGTTTATTCGTGTCTCTCTCTTTCTACTGTAGACACTGAATGACAGAAAGCTCAACTCCAGTGCGCTTCACTGACTCCTCCCTTTCTCTTTTCTCTTTAAAATCCATTTTAACCATCAAAGATCGTGTTTTTGGATTGCTGAAAGCACCTAAGCTGAGAAGCTAAGCTAACAGGCCGACCTTGGGAAAAAAAACTCCAGTCTTGGCAAAGTTCCAAATTTCACGGTTGAAACCCGTGTAAAAAGTTGATTTTCTCTGAAAAAAGAAGCTGAGAACTTATCTGATTTTTTTATTAAAAGCTTTGTGTGAAAAATGCTATGCTAAAGAGCTCAAACTACACTGAGCGTCCGCCATTTAGGGAACCAAAGAGAGACAACCCTTGTCACGTCAAGGGGCCTCCTTCCCATTTTTTTAAAGAGACACACTGCTCGCTCCCTCACTATCCATCTTTTGGTTCAGTCTGCCATCCGGTGGTCAAAAAAAGTACTACATGCAAAACAAATGAACAAACATTTCTTCTTAAATTTGACAATAATTACTAAGTATTGTCAAATTTCTATGACGAAGCTTTAGGGCCACGCTAAAAAATAAATAAATTTAAAGCCATAAAATTACGAGAATAAAGCCGTACGAGACTTTTTTTTTTTTTTACAGATGTTGTTAATTTTTTTCCCCACAAGTCGGATCCATGATGCGACCTGTCAATCAATCCAATAGGCGTGTCAGCAAATGACCAATCTGAAGCTAAATGGTCCTTACCTGCAGAGAACTGGAGCGTACCACCTTACTGTAAACAGGTTCAAAATCCTGACATTGATAATAATCTGATGCTGATGTGCTAGCAGATTACACAGTTTTGTTTACTGAGCGCTGTTTTCAAATGGAAACAAAAACGAAAGTCATGACGGTATGACGTCACGTTACGTATCCCAGGAGCAGCATACAAAAACACAACAGCAGGTGGCAGTATTGGAACCTGTTTTGAGTAAGCGCGTCAATAACAACGTTTAATAAACATTCTTCATTTTACCACAGTTAAAATGTGGTAAACCTGCTTTATCGTGTCCGAGTTCAGATATATTTTTTAACGTGGCCCTAAAGCTCCGTCGTCAATTTAAAACTATTATTGTTTATCACAATAGTTTCTGAGACAATTAATCGTCCAGCAAAATTTGTTATCGTGACAGGCCTTGTTTGATCCCTGCTTTAATCAGTGAAGATATATTGTATCATCATTTTTCACTTTTATATTATTTTATAGTTCACTGAACTTCTTTCTCTCATTTAACTGTGTTAATCTGGATTACTTCAAATCAAATTAGCAATCCAATTCAGAAAGCAGTGCACCTGTTGGTTGGGGAGCGTCTGTTTCTCTGACTTATTGGGGGACAGTCAGACTGTTATTGGGGGACTCAACCTTGTCCCACAGCAGGGAGAAGAAAGGCAAAAACTTTGTAGATACACACACACACACACACACAAACAACCAACTAAATATTAAGCGACATATTGCATGGTACTTATTTAATATTGTTCTCAGGAGCCACTAGGGGTGCGCTGATAAATCGGCCCCGATTTCCTTAATTTTGGGAAATCAAAAATCGGCCGATACGTGCAAGAGAAACCAATTTTACCAATTATTTTAGTTTTAACAACAATTGTCTGAACTTCATTTATATTTCAGAGCACTACCTCATGGCCAGTTAAAACAAGTTTGTATTGTTTCTAGGATATTGTTCAAGGGTATCTTTTTCAATAAAATAATATTGGAAAATTGAAGGTGCATTGTGACCTTATAACACCTGACAGTGTCGATTATAAAACAAAATCAGCATCGGCCAAAATCAGAATCGGCAGGTCAGACTTTAGGAGCCACCACTGATACATGTAAGCATTTTGTTGTATATATGCATTAACACATTTAAAATATATACGTGTTGCTCTTCATAAGCTTTTCAACATTTTTATTGTTGTATATTAATTGTATTGCTTCAATAACAACTACTCAATTCTCGTATTTAAGTTTTTATTTTATTAATTCTGATTTACTTTAAACAGCAAGAATGGGTGTATGTCGCAAAGGCAACCGTAGGAGGTACTTGTGGATTGTTAGCTAAGCCTCAGATTATTATCCTGTAACAAATCCTACCGTAAATGCCACAGTTTCATCCAAGAAACTATTAGCACAGAATGTGGATTGCTGCCGCGGTTGGTACGGGGCTGTGGTACCAGAAGGACATTGCAGCTTAACTCTGTGATTTTACACAAACAGCAGCAAAGAACATGTTGTTTGTTCACAAGCAGACATGCTTCTTAGTTTTAGCATTGTGATAGCAGAAATGAGAACAGCACACCAGAAACCAGATCTACACTTGTTCCTGTTTACAAACAAGCTAGCATTAGCATAGTAGCACAGCTAGTTGCTACAAGAAGCCAGAAATTTAGCTGTTTGTTGCTCCAATGAACCATTGCTACAGAAGTTACATGGTTATAACCAGACACAGGAACTAATCACAGAAGTTGAAGCCAAAACAGCATGAGCGTCCCCTGGGGAAAAAAAGTCCATCCATCTATTCATCCATCCATCCGTCCACCCACCCACCCATCCGTCCACCCATTTACCCGCTTCTTTCTTTTTTGGGTTGCAGGGGTCACTGGTGCCCATGTCCAGCCATCATTGTGCGAGAGGCGGGGGACACCCTGGACGGGTCTCCAGTCCATCACAGGGACACATAGAGACAAACAACCATTCACTCTCTCACTCACACCTAGGGACAATTTAGTTACCAATCAGCCTAACATGCATGTTTTTGGTCTGTGGGAGGAAACAGGAGTACCTGGGAAAAACCCATGCATGCATGGAGAGAACATGCAAACTCCACCCAGAAAGGCCCCTGGCCGGGATTTGAACCGGGGCGACCAGCTTGCTGAGAGGCAGCACGACCGTTCTGCTGCTGCCTGCAAAAAAAGTCCCTGAAAATAAAAAGAATAACTGATTGAATTACTTTGTAAAATAAAACACCCCAGATCTTCTTTTTATTTTTTTTTTAATCGGTGTATACTTTATTGACTCACATAGGTCTTACTTTGCTACTGTATATTTTTTTACCTGCTTTATTTTTTTTTACCAATAATAATAGCAAGACATTAATTATGAGTGCCACTGGACAGAAATCTGGTTAAAAAAATAATTTAAGCTGGCTAATGCAACAATTTGCACAGGTACTGCTGCAATTTAAACAGGTTATTGCTGCAAATGTATCAGGTTAATGTGCAATTTAAACAGGTAATGCTTTAATTTAAACAGGTAATGCTTCCATTTAAACAGGTAATGCTTCCATTTAAACAGGGTGATGCTGCAGTTGAAAGTGGTTCAGCAGAGCTGAGGAGCTGCTTCATCCATGTTTTTTTAATAACTTGCGGTAGTGTTTAGGATTTGTTGATTGACTTTTCGGTTGATGTGGCAGCCATTTAGGAGCAGTAGAATAATGACGGTGTGTAAATTACTTTTAGTGTCAGTGTTGCTGAAAATGTTGCTTTACTACTGGCAATAAATTGCTACTGGTGTAAATGTTTTTCTAGCAGTGAGGGATATTCTGCCAGTGTTCCCCATGGGAACATTTGAAGTACTTAATTCTTATTGGTATAAGAATTTAAAATGATTAAATCAGATTGATCATTTTCTAAATATTTGCACAGAGACTGCCTAAAACACAACCTGGAAGGATTGTTTTCCTGTACCCTGGAAGGAAACACAGGAGAATAGTTTGTGTTGTAGTTTTGAGCTACAAAAAGATGAAACAACATCTCATGAACGAAAGAAGATTCTTTTTTGTTATATATGTGTGTCACAGGACTGAAACATTAACTGTACAACTAAAATCTAATTAAAATTTTCATTACAATGTCCATCTGACTCAAAGCTTTTACTTTATGTGCAAACTATTTGCCCTAAACCAGAACAATTATCTGTAAAATTGTCCCACGTTTCAATTGTTTTCCCCATTTCCTCCACAGGACACAGATCTGATTTGTGTACTCAGTAACATTTTTTGTTTGTTTGTTTTGGATCCATTATGGATTTAAATCCTCTTTTTATGTAGATTTATGATTGCCTGTCACGTAAAGTGAAAAATAAGCTTATAAAAAAGAAAAAGCAGAAAGAATCAACACTTTGTTCTGCAGTTCTAACTTGGAAAAATCCTTGGAGAAAATATCAGAGAAGAATGATGGACATGAGAAAAGTGGGGCTCAGAGTGTACTGAGCTGATGTGTCCGATTTTCAGTCAGCAGGATGCCAAACTAATCCTGTTCTCATAAAGAGGCTAGGGAGTAGGGATGCACATTAGATTTTTGGCCAATATCCGATATACCGATATGTTAAAATTTATTTGGCCAATAACCGATACCAATACCGATATTTTTCCCCCTAGACCTACAGAGACTACATAGCTTTATCTGCTGTGGAATTAAAATACTACATTATTCTGCATGGTCTTTGTCATTTCGGCCAGCTACCAAATGCAGATGCCAACAAGGGGGCTGAAAATGACGTAACACTATAAATATATAATTTATGTAAAAAAAAAAAAAACAGTGCTGGTTATATCGGTGTTTATTTTTGATGGAATGGCCGATGTCCAATATTTAACTTTATCGCTAATATCGGCCGATACGATGCCATGCCGATAATATCGTGCATCCCTAAAAGAGGCTTTTGTTACCAAATAAAAAACATGATGAATCTATTACAGTGAAACAAAAACAGGATCTAACATCACAAAGAGAAGAAAATAGAGTTTTGGCTGATTGAAAGTTTTTATGTTTGTTGTAAGTAACTCAATCAGAACCACGTCAGCCTCGATGTCCTTATTGTTTAGTGCCCAAACGCAAACTGATGATGATGTCAGAAGTTACAGTTTTTGTGTTACTTTCTGAGTAACTGCTCATGTTTTCTTCTCTTCCAGTCGAGTGATTCTTCCGATCTCTGTAGAAGAGGTAAGTTTTATCTCTCTTCCTCTCAGGGTGTGTTTGTTAGTTCAAGGCGTTTTGTTTCTTGTATGACTTTCATCAAATAAAGGGCAGCGCCCCTCTATCTAAGCTGCCTTTCTCCAATCAGCTGTGGGACTTTTTCATGTTGTAGCATTTTCTGACAAAGTTTTATAATGTTTCAGATAAACAGTCCACTGTAAGCCCAGGAAACAGGCGCGATCACCTTCAGAACATGAAACAGCTCTTCACTGTGTCTCATTTCCTCTGCAGCTTGCTGCTCTGTGGAGGCCTGCATTGGAAATGAGTCATCTGAAACTGCTTCCTTCACATCACATGTCCACCTTCTCCATATTTGGCTTTACATCTATGGGTTGTTACATACGGACACTAGATTTACTGTAATTTACCATAATTTTTGGGCTACAAAACGCGCCTGTCTCTACCATAATTGCCGGTGTACAAGCCGCTACGTTTTTGTCACACGTTGTACCCCGCAGTTTATACGCAGGAGAGTCTTGTTTGTTTTTTTCATACTTTTCACAAGTTATATTTTATTTTGACAAACTTCCTGTCGTCTCTCTGTAACTTCCTGTGGTTGTTTTAAACCTTCAAACCACTCTGTCTCCTCTGACAGTGACTTCAGTCTGAGTGTGAAACAGATCGGAGTGAGCTCAAGGGCTGACGAGCTGCCTCGTCACTCCCATTTCAGTCACAGAACGTCTAAATCTGATAAAATATCAAAACAATCAAGGCTACAAACACCAAGATTTAAGGAAGCAACAAGTGACCATTATGGATGATGTCTGAGGATGAATGAGCAAAGCCAGATGATAAATTTATTAAATATCTGGGGCAAAACCAAGCAAATAAAGAGTTACTGGGGGTTGTATTCAAATGTGAATCAAAGCTTCATTTTCATAATCCTTGATATTTTTTTCTGCTTAAAGAGACAGATTTCTTCTGAGAAAGCAGAAGTGAGAAATGTTTCTCGGTCATCCAGTTTATCATTGTAAAACTGTGTTTGACTAAAGTTTGTTCAAGACATTCTGGGAATATTTAATTTCATACTCCATCGATTTTCTCTTCCTGTCTTTTATATTCCTCCAGACTCTTAACAAGTTTTCTTTTCACTCACTGACTCTTGAAAACAGCAGTTATTTATTATTTGCCACTAAATGAGATCTATGGGTCTCCACGGCCACTCTGACACTTGATCCAATCTGTCATCATTTTGATTCTTTCACTTATTGCCCACAAGTCAGTTTGATGTCATCTGACTTTTTTAAACTGATTCCATGAGCCATTCGTTGTCTTATGAAATCTGAATGATTAAACGTCTTCAAAAATTATACCAGTATTGAATTTCCAGTCTAAACCTCTTATTTTTGAGGAAACATTTTATCATAATTTATTTTTATTTTTGTGGGAATGAAGCATTAAATTCAGTTCAATTCAGTTTATTTATATAGCGCCAAATCACAACAAAGTTGTCTCAGGGCACTTTACAGGAACATTCACATACATAGAAAAGCCAGTTTGTAAAGTTCTCTTTCTAAGGAAAGTGAAAATGTCTTAACTGAATGAAGAATGACCCCAAAAGGGCATTTCTCTGTTACCCATGAGGCCTTGCTGTTGCTGTAGTCCACTTTTTAGAGGATATATACAGTTTGTTGCTGATCCTCACACTCTTACTCCATCTCACTGTCTCACACTGTCTCACTCAGTTTTACACTCTCACTCTGTGTCACCTTTGTCTCACTTTGTCTTACTCTGCCTCTCACTATTTCACTCTGTCT